TGGACCTGGCCCATGTACCTCCACCATGTGACTTGGAGGAGTGGGGCCAGCGGGTGGAACACACGGTTGATGTTGCACTTCGTAAGGCACCTGCGGGAGCCAACTTGCCACGGCATTTACCTAGAGCCTTTAGAGGTAGGTGCCTGCCGCAGAAGCCCAAGCAGATCTTGATCACTTCCCTGGTCCCCAAAGCCAGGAGTGGAGACTTCGAACCTGATCAAGAGATTCATCGGGTAGTCACGGCAGGTATGATTAAGCAACTGAGGAGAATACAATCTTTGAGACGTAAACTCAGCAAGGAGGCATTGCATCATGCCCTTCTCTTGGAATGGCGGTGCATTCTTCGGTTTCGATATCAGGCTCAGTCCTTTGTGGCCTGGCTCCAATCCCAACCTGAGTTGTACCCGGTCCCTTGGAACTTACCCACCATGGAATGGTTGAATGATCTTGACCAGCTTTGGCGTCATGAAGTCCAAAGGGCCATGAATGTTGATAGTCAAATTTTCCAAGATAAGCAGAAGTTTCGTCTCCAGCTGGATAAGAAACAGGGGCATAATAAGCTCACTTTCGCTTCTGTTCGAGGCTCCACGCCCAAGCTTGAATCAGTTGAGCAAACTTGTGAGCAAGATGCTATTTTGGTCCCATTGAGCACTAGGGTCCATTCCAAAAGCCATGCTAGATATGAAGCCTTTGTTCCTGAGCCCTCTGCATTCCAACAGGGTCGTAACTTGTGCTTGGATAACCACTTGGCTTGGATCCATGACATTCGTGAACAATCTATAATTGTGTCATGTCCGGCGGAGTTGGTTGATCTTGAGAATGTTCAAGTGCGGCAGAATATTCTCGTCACCAATCCTCAGCAAATTTGCCATCACTTGACCCAATTCTGGGAGCCTATTTGGCAGCGGGACGATGCGCATCTTCATTCTCCCGCATTGGATGTCGCCTTCCAGCAATTCTTGAATCTGCTGCCCTGCCAGAGCTTGCAGGTCGACTCAAAGAACTTGGAGGTTTGGAAGCAAGTCATTCGTGCTTTGAAGTGGAATGCCGCTCCAGGTCCCGATGGCATCACTGCCTTTGAGCTTCAAACTTTGCCGGACTCCCTCATTTCCATGTTGATCCAAGTAGTGCATAGCTATCCGGATGGCTTTCCCTCTTGGTTCATGGAAGCTAAAGTCTTCGCCGCTCCAAAGACTCATGGTACTCCGGTCCCTGATAAGATTCGACCCATTACTGTCTTGTCCCAGCTTTACCGTGTCTGGGCTCAGGTGGTCTGTCGCCAACTCTTGTCAGCTTTTGGGAAGTTCATGACATGTGATATCACTGGGCTACTACCAGGAAGAGGTGCATTCGAGGCTGCTTATGCCACCCAGTACTTTTTCGAAGAGGCCCATGCAGCTGGCGAGCCCTGCGCGGGCATCACTCTTGATCTTGTGAAATGCTTTAACGCTATTAATAGATCTCGTGGAGTGGACATTCTCCGCCATCTTGGGGTGCCAGAACCCATCCTGGCCCAATGGTCGGGCTCGTTAGCTAAGCTTTCGAGGCGTTGGGAAGTCCTTGGTCAGTGCTCCGATCCGATCAGCAGCACTTGCGGTTTCCCGGAGGGAGATGTTTTCTCAGTGCTTGTCATGTTGGGTGTTGCTCAATGCTGGACGGCTGCCTGCCGTACTCGCACCACTGATAGTGCTTTGATCTCCGCCTATGCTGACAACTGGGCTTGGGCAGTGAAGGATGTCCTGGACATTGAGCCTCTCCTTGATGTCACAGTACGTTGGACAAAGATTATAGGGCTCCAGATTGACTGGACCAAAACATGGTGGTGGACGTCACATTCCCACCTTGCGGGTGTGGTCCGTCAAGCCTTTGACCATCTTCGGTTACCTGAGGTCGCCAAGGTCCAAGCTGCCAGTGATTTAGGGTGTCCCTTGCGCTACCAGGGGGCTGCTCGCATGTGTAAGCTTCATGATCGACTGAGCAAAGCCAAGGAGAGACTCACCCGTCTGAAGGTCTCCCACGTCGACATCGATGTCAAAGCACAAGTAATTTCGGCCAGTGTCTATCCGGTTGCTTTTCATGGAAGTGAATTGTTTCCAGTTGGTCAACAGCACACTCGGTCCCTCCGTCACCATGTGGCTGAGGCTCTTGTTGGGCCTTCGGAGAGCATGGCCTCTGCGCTTGTCACCCTGTGTGCATCTAAGTATGTCAAAGATCCAGAGCTTCATATGATTCTTTCGGCTTGTGCAGCCGCACGGAGGTTTTTGTTAGCTCGGGATTGCTTTCAGCATCAGAGATTCTTTAAACTTGCCTCGCAATACCTGCCTAGGCCTAACACTTCTAAGGGTCCGGCCTCTACGCTTAAGACTTATTTAGTTCGATTAGGATGGTCCATTGATTCGCAAGGGTACATTCAAGTTTCGAGCTTTGTCAAGCTTTGCTTTCTGTACTGTCCTTGGAACAGCCTGGTCTGGTTTGCTGAAAGGGCGTGGCAAGACAAACTTCTGGTGATGCACTCCCATCGTAGGTCTTTGATTAATTTTCCTAATGTTGATCAGCACCTCACGAGACAGGTCCTTTCTCGATTCACCGTAGCTGAGCGACGTCTCTTGGTTCGTGAAATTGCTGGAGCCTTTCAAACCAGGAGCCAACAAGCTATTTGGGATGAACAAGTGACCCCTGATTGTCCGTGGTGTGGTCAGGTAGATACCAAATTTCATAGGTTCTTTGAATGTGCCGCAACGCAGCATGTCCGTTCGCCTTTTCAGGCCTTGATTCAGGAGATTACCTCAGATGACACCTTGTTGCCTGAACTGCCGGTCATTTTTGAATCTGTGGAGGATGAATTTCGCTTCACATTTCAATATGCCATCAAGCCAAGATCACCTGAGCCTTCTGCGCTTGCTGCTCTGCAAGAGTGTGTGTCACCACTATCCCCATTACATGTGTATACGGATGGTAGTTGTCTCCACCCGACCATTCCTTCGTTGAGATATGCGGGTTTCAGTATAGTGGTTGACTCATGTCACAGTGATGCTGAGCGGAGCTGGCATGCACAACGCTTCAAAGAGCTGGGTGTGCCACCTCCCACCTTGCATGTGATTGTTCAGGAACTTTGCCCGCAGGCTCAGAACATTCACCATGCCGAACTTCGTGCGGTGGTTAGGGCTAGTGAATACTTCAGTAATGCTGTTATTCATGTGGATTCCTCCAGTGCCATTGCCACCTTTGAGGCAGCCCGGACTGTCCATGGTGTGCATTTACACCGTCACCCTCACCCGGAGCTGTGTTGTCAGATCCAACAACTCAACCATGTTGAGACTAATAGGCTTGTTAAGATTAAGGCTCACACCAAACCTCAAGATCTTCCTGATCTGCTTTGTTACCATGCCCTTGGTAATATGATTGCAGATCGTGCGGCAGCTGAAGTTTGCACTTCTTGTCATCCCACTCTTACCGATGAGTGGCACCTGCTTGCCTTGCAACGTAAGCAGGAGATGGATGTTCTTGAGCAATTCTATCGCCTTTCCTTAGCCTTGCAGAGCCATCGTAAGCTCCATGACCAACATGTACCTGCCTCTTTGAATCCCATGGAACCGCATCCGATGAGACAAGCTGCACATTTCTCTTCTCAGTGTTCCAATTGGACTGTCGACGAAGCCTGGCAGCTTGATGTGGCAGCAATCCGGGTTGATAATTGCTTTGATCACTCCTATTGGAGTTCCTCTTTGATGCACTGCATACTTGATTGGGCGGGCCAGATTCGATGGCCTCTGTCTCTCGGCCCCCCGACTCCTGTCAATATTGGTGTTTCTTGGATGGAATTAGTTCTTAGCTTCATGCTATATACTCAGTGCTATCTTCCTGTGCACAGGAAGGTTTTGCCAGATGGGCACTGTTTTGCTTGGGCTCGCTCTGATGCTGAGGCACATGCCTTTAACTATTCCTGGAATGAGGTTGCCTCACAGTTCTCCTCCATGTTTAGTCAGTTTGCCTCATTGAGCGGCCATGAGGTCTTACCTGCTCATGCCAAACGTGCTCGCATTTGTGCATTATATCGGCAGGGCGCAGGAAGCTGTGTCTTCGGTCTTGTTCCTCGCCCGGCCTTCCCGAACCAGGATCAAGTGGCTACGATTGTCCAGATGGCATTTCAGAAACATTTTCGAACGTGTGCCTACAACTGGTGGCCTCCTCTTGTCTTGTCACATCAGGAGATGTCTGATTCGCTTCAATGGCAGGCCCCTGCTGGCTCATGGAACAAGTTGCAAAAGAAACTGAAGGAGGGTTCACGGATTGCCCGTCGGATGCGATCCACCCTTGAAACTTCGTGACTGTTGTCCCCCTGGCGCTCCTCCTTGTCTTCGTCTTCTCGTTTCTCACTTTAGCCGTTTTCAGACCCGGACACTCAGCCCCTCTCCCGCCACCAGTGCCAGGGAGGGGCCTTCTTGCAAGGAAAAGCCATCCCTAGTAGGCTGGAGGCCATGGCTATTAGGTTGGAGGCCATCGCTATTAGGTTAGAGGCCATCGCTAGTAGGTTGGAGGCCATCACCATTAGGTTGGAGGCC